GGCTACTATCGGGGTGATCTCAATTCGTGGTGCAAGCGAGGCCGCAAATCGAGAAGTGAGAGCTTTTATAGAAGGATTGCAACGTTTTTTCTAAATTGTGGTATTGTACATGAAAAATGAATAGTTCTGGCATCGATCGATAGTGGGATATTACCAAACAAATGACAGGTTGCAGTTTAGATTGAGCAGCATAAAAAATAGTTGCTTCCACGGCTGCGAGAGCAACACTAATTTTTCCTTAGTGCAGTGCAAACAGATGGTTGGGAGCTTGATAAAGCCTCTACAGTGTCAACATACATGTCTGATAACATGCTTTAATCGATAAATTCGAAAAAAATAGAAGGAATCGACTCAACTTCACAAGTACACGGCACACGCATGTATCTAAAAACCTCATTAATTGTCACAATTGTTTGATAAAGGCCTAAAGCAATCGCATTGGATCTGACGCTTGACTTCCTAAATAAAAGTTATGCTAGTGGTTCAAATTTGTGGGGCTCAATGAAATTTCAGAGAAATCGATATGGCGCAAATTTGAAATCCTGGTTATAGCACGCACATTATCACTAGCTTACAAGCGCTCTGATAATCAAATTATCCGAATCAATGAGTGAATCGTGATTGCAGGAACGCCATCGTGCTCGGAGATGTGCCACCATCTGAGCACATGGCGCTATCAAATAGATCTATGCACAGACAATCATTACTAACTAGAGTTTCTAAGCAAAACACCTATCATATGCAACAGATAATATGCTGCCGTGTATAAGTAATTCTTCAAGAAAGACAGAATGGATGTAACAACTTTGAAAATGAGCATGAGTCAAGGAAGTCATTACTACGTGTTTGCATACCTTAAATTTATATAAATAGTTAGTCTTGAACCGAGACTGTCACAGTTTAAGAGCAAGAAAATAAGCAATGGAATTCATAAATGCAGAACACATTTAATGACAGCGACTACAACAAACCGTCGGAACGCTACAAATTATAAAAGTAAATGATACGTGCAGTACTGAGGGCATAAATCGTAGCCATTTCATGTTAAATATTAAGTACTATATATAATTGCAATTTTTTACATTTCAAGTCGGAAAATGAGATTGTCCGTGTCGTCGCTCTCGTCGTCGGAGAATTGGTAAGCCCGCCGGGTGAGTGACGAAGAGGCTGTTGATGCACTAGAAAAGTCAGACGCATCGTTGAAGAGAAAAGAATCGCCCGGCACTTTAGAATCAGGACTGTAGTACGTGTTCTCATTGCTGGTCTTATAGAAATATCCGTCATCATCGCTGTCGTCGTCGCTATCTTCGTTGTCCGAACCATCATTTCCAAGCTCGTCAATGCCGCGTCGAATTGTTGTCAAAAAGTCTTCCTGTTCGTCCTGCGGATGTAATTTCATCTTTGTGGAAGACATCGTTGGCATCATTGCGGCATCAGTATTCGCTTCATTGATGTTAAAGCAATCGCTTAAACCCACTTTGAAGTCCGAATGAAAACGCAACAATGGAGAGTTGAAGGACTGACGAAGGAAAGCACCTGCAGGTTGTAGTGGGAGAACTTCGCACATGAAGTAACTTTTAAGTGGCTTGCGCTTGGGTAGGTTAGTTGAAGAATGGTGGAATGGTCATGCCGAATCTAACAATCATATGCACAGTTCATACCTCTAGCAGTGCATTATTGAAGATTGATGAACTAGAATTACTACATAGTTAGTTTACCTTTATATTCATATAAGCGTCTCGGTAGTTTTGCTTAAATAGGTACGGGGAATATCTAATTGATAAGATTCGGAAAGCTCACCGGACTTTGCACCACAATCCTGAGAGCAGACATATCTAGGATGACAGCTACATATATTACAACCTTGTGCGAACCCTTCGATGTTTAAGAATGAATGCAATATAATTGTACCGAATTGCAAACGTCTTCAAATTGACGGCGCGTTGCTGGATCGCAATAACATTTCATTATTTAATATTGAGAGCAAAATCTGGCTCGTCTTTAAACCTTATTCGTGTATATAAATAGAGCTGAGTCGACAAATTTTTTATGTTGCAATATCATACAAACTTTCAGTAATTTGGACAGTAGGAATGTCAGGAAATTGCGCTACACAGTCTAAGAGCTCACTAGGTTACTGTGAACTTCATAAAGGGCACTTTCCTTTATAGTTGACTAGATTTAGGAGTATGTGGTGGTCTATAGTGTATGTAAAGACTATGTTATATGTCCAAGGTGTACAAGCTATCAAACTGATACTAAATCAAATCCTGTCAGAGTCTTCGGTTTGAGCTTGTTCGTACATTAGCTTCATCCGCTACGACGTCAATGTAAAACGGCGATGCACTCGACTACGTTGATCTTTGCCAAAGTGCAATAAAGAATTAGAACAGCATGATGGGGCTTTCTCTCTAAAGAAAATTTTCACAGGATTTCTACCATCTCGAGGGGTCTTTTGTCTTCATAGTGGCACATACTTACTGTACAAATGCGCGTCCGTCTCATCTTTTCCCAAGCTATACCAACCAAACGTAATACTAGTGGTACATTCGAGCAGCACATGCTGAGTTTGATCAATCGTCACTATCAGGAAGTGCTACATCTGCTTCATTTTCGAATTTTGAAAAGTGAACAATCAAAATGTTTTATTGGGGATATGCTGCCATCTTTTTATAATCGATCGCTTAAATTTTATCTTCAACTAGCGACGTACGACAAAGATTACAAGCGCGTCGATACGTACATGCGAAGCATTGTATGCCTACGTGCAGCACCGCAACTGCAACATTATATTCTGTGGGGTCGTACTTGAAGATAAGAAAGAACAGAATTGAAATTTTCGGGTGCTAATTTGACTATCCATAAATAGATGGTAAATGTGTGGTGACTTGGGTTATAACTTTAAACATCGTTATTGGGATTCCAATACAAGAGTTTGATATTATAAATGATGCGTTTCTCCAAGTTAATAATATGAAAGGAGAATTAGTGAAGTTTTTTTTAATTTTGTTCGGCTCTTTTCTAGTATCTTCTAGAAACTCTAGCAATGCATGTTTGTTTTCTAAAGGTTGTTGAAGTCCCTGCGGTTATGCTTCTCTTCCATGGCGTAAAGACCATCTGAAAATCCTCTTCAGCAGATCCCCAAAGTGCAAGTTCATGTGCAAGCAGACCCAGCCCCTAGCTTCAAGTGATTTTTCGAACATATGGGCATTTGAAATTTACAGAACCAGGTCCCCAGTTTCTAGAAACTTACCAAGACAGGCTTTCTAGACTTGGGATATGCAATAAAGCTCTTGACTAAGCGCAGGAGAGCCTTATTACTCCACGCATATAACATTTGTGGCGGTGGCGACGCAGTATATGAATGTCGCCATACATAAAAAGATGGAAAATATGTATATGCAGTCTATACTTGCAAAATGGCTTCAGATTTACCGAAATCATGATCCAGTTTTGAGTAAATATTGGTCATATGCAATATTTGACACAATTGTTGAGCAGTTTAAGACGCCATCACGCTCAATATTGTTAAAGGATTATGCCAAAAATCAACATATTAGCTGTACAAACGACCATTATTATACAAACTCCTGTTGCACTAACAAAGTAGGCTCAATTGCGTTTTAGTCTTGTCAGCTTGAAGCTGATGTGAAGGGATACTTTACTACACATAGAGATATCTATGCTATTGAGTGTACCTGCTTGGCTCGAAGGTATTTGAAATTCAACCCGATCATTCGTCCCTGCGCACATCCACGTCGTAACCACATTTATTCCAAGGAATGGTCATATTTTTTCGCCAAGTACACCTTTGCGGTACCGTATAAGCTGACTTGGTGTGGTTAGAATTGCGCTTTTGCGTCATACCGACTAAAATTGCCGCATGTCATAGTGGTGACGTCACAAATTGACGAGGCCATACTCACTGCTTACGGGTCGGGCACGACATGTGTTGCGTTTCTGAAGCATTGGAAAGCAAGAAGGTTAGAAAAACAAATTTGGCACTATCAAAAAGCGTGCTTCTTTGCGGATTCACTACTATAGCAACCGCAGATTACTGAGCTGATCCATGTCACTCTCAAAGTGTAGTGATGCCAGCTGGGGAGCCTCATTCTTAAACGAGGCTCATGAAATACCATCTTGAAAAAATAATCAATATTTATCGGTGAGCGCTATATATATGTGGCCCAGCATGTATAAGTTAGTAAGCGCGTATGTGCGCCCGCTCGAATCAAGTCAGCGTGTAATTCTTGTGTCATGCGCCGGTTATTTTGAATATCGTGTCCATTTCGTCAGTGTTGATTTGACGTAATTTCTGATTTTCTTAGAGACGCATCTGGTGAATTCGATATTGTGTTCTTTATGTTGTCTGAGCAAGATGGCTCATAGCGCTGCTATCTGCGATAACGTGACCAATAAGGATGCGCTTAAGCTCCTCATCGACAAAGCGCATTCTCAGTATGGCTATCTTGTGGCTGCTGTATCAGACAGAGGTTCGCTTGTTACAGCAAAGCTTTTGCGAACTTTTTTATATGCTCGTATAGATTGGCTACGTCAACTGCTGAACACCCGCAGATAGATAGCCCAAAGGAACGCATGGATGCGTCGAGGAGTCTTAAAATGTAAAAACGTGTTTCAAGAGACCGCAGTACTAGGGCGACTTGTGGTGTTTGTGGCGAAAAACGCACTTTGTGCTGTGAATGGCTCTATTTTTTTTTACAAAAAGTTTCGGTGATCCCCGGATGCATTTCACACCGCCATATAGTGGGTCTAAACACAAACGGGGAGATACTGCAGATGTCCATGAAGGTTGTTGAAATTAGCTTCTATACCATAACTAACCATGCTATTCGATGATTTCAGGGCTGTAATCTCTTAAAGCTATCCTTTGAAAAAAACTTCATGCTCAATAAAGCCTTCTGCTTTGCGTAATGACAGGGGACATACAGACTGAAGCACTTCTTCGGAAACTCTATTTACAAGTAAGTGAAGTTTCTCGCCGCAAAGTCGTGGGACTCCTATTCTCTGCCCGATGGGTGCATCACAAGGTACTGCCGACTGAGGAGAATTATGACATGTTGGCTTAGATAAACCATGCACGACACCTCCAGAGTCTACAAATGCAACTAAGGTAACAGAGTTTCACATATCCTGGTAACTGGTGTGTGTCACACCAAATGGTCATGGTGTAACTGCATTCAAACAAGAATACGATACGGGGCTGGATAGCCAGTAGTTATACATGTATTTTCATTATACTATACATATTTGAAGAAAATCTATGCATTTAAAATAAGACGGTTCTGCCGCAGATAAAAAAATAAAGTCAATTTTGGATTTAAACGGAAGTGTTAATTAGCCTTGGGTTAAGGTTGTAATTACCGTTGGAGTAAGCGGATCGCGATTCGCCAAACTCGTACTCATTCTAAGTATACAACGAAAGTTCGGTGACCTAACTTACGCTTCCTCTAAGCGCAAAGTTACAGCAGCCCCGCTGCACTTGGTAGCACTTGTAGTCAATTTACGCCTGAGTCGTTTAAACTAATCTTCTGTGAGGATGGAACAATTTTCCTCTTTGCCCCAGGGCATGCAGGACGGCCTTAAAAAGTTGATGATCTTGCTTGTCTCTGAGGGCGTGCAACACCTTGCTTCGCATGGCCCTTAGGCACTCGGTGCGCGGCAAGAGGCGTTTTCAAATTACGAAAACGCGCTGCTAGAGCACCTGCTGCAGAAGATGTCTGCATCATTTTCGTCTATGAAGCCACCATCAGCGACGAATGATTTTGACCACCCTTAAATGCTCATGGCGAGTGTTAAGGTCTTTGAGGAGAAGGATGGAGAGAGTCTCCTGCTCTGGGTGAGAGAGATCGAGATAGCCATCGTATCCGCCATGATCTAGACCGAGCAACAGCGCGTGGCGCTAATCATGTCAAAGCTCGGTGGTCGAGCGCGAGAATTGGCACTGACGTGCGGCACTTTGGTCGAAGCTGCGTATCCCTCTTGGGCGGAGCTGAAATTGCAGCCCTCACGAGTGTTCTCGCCGCCTAATCAAGGCATATCGCGTGCGATCGCGTTTTCTTGCCGCCCGACAAGACAACAAGGAATTGGTGAACTTCGTCCAAGAGATGCGCACTCTCATTGCCGAAATGGCAGTAGATCCCCTTCCGGAGGCGGTCACAGTGACCGTGTTTATAGAAGGCCTCCGCACTGGCGTGGCCTGAATGCTTCTGCGTGCATCCGTCTTCGTTTAGAGAAGCAATAAGCGTGGCATTGGATGCCGAATTCAAATTCAAGTCGGCATGACTTGGTTGGAATGCATACTCCAACAGCTAGTCGAGCGGGTCTGTGCCCGTGGATCTCAGCTATGCTGAGGACGAGAGAGCGGAGCTCTGAGCTGCCAAGCAGGGCACAAATATACGATAGTGTTTTGTCTGTGTAGACGCCCATCATCTTCGGAACGGTTGCCCCTGCGCAAGACGCGTCAAGGTTCATCGATCCATCACCCCAATGCCTACCAGTCTTGTTCGTCGCGAAGAAACGACACTACCCAGTAGACGCGGGGCAACCTACTGGGGAAGAATTGAGTTCTGTTGAGTCTCAGAGAGGTAGAGGTCATCAGGGCCCAGCCCCGAAAAGCTTCGTGCTCTTATACACGGAACGTGTTTGCTGGTCGTGGAGGCGACCGTAAAGAGCTTCGAGAAGCCATGGAAGATCCTCATCGATTCCGGGGCGTCGGACAGTTATGCTCGACGTTCCACGATGGAAGGAAGTCAGCTGTATGCTGAGGTGCTAAAAGCGCGGTTGGGTGACATCGTCACAATTTACCTTGCAAAGGGGACGCGTGTCACGGTTCCGAAGGTGCCTGTGGACCTTGGAGTCAAGTTTCGTGACTATGATAGCGTGTAACGCTGTCTAGTGTTAA